AACATTGTTCACACACTCTGCTTTGTCACTATCCATATTGTTTTTTCCTAGTAGTGCTTTACCGAGAAAAGTACTCTGTTTTCTTAACACGGCATCTTTTTCCTCGTCTTTATTTTCATAACTTTATTTGCCTTATCTAAAGACAGATGATTTTTAGTTTTTTTGTAATTCATTAGTGTTTCTCTTGTTTTCATTAACGACGCTCACAGCGCTTTGTTATTTTACATGATTCCCCAGTTGTATTTATTTACTGTAACAAAAATAGTTGTTTATTTACACCTGTTGAGTCAGTCGTAACCGTTGTTTACGTAACGTCATCAATTCATTCACTCTCATCGTGTACTTCTTAGCTTTACTCTTAGTTTTTTTTTTTTGCATGAAAACCTTTAAAATTTATCTATATTTATAAAAATATCTCGTAGCTTCTTCTTCTTTTTAATTAATGGCGTTGCCCTTGTGGATTTCGCCAGAAACCAGTGTTTCGCTCAGATTACTTCATATTTTAGTATTTTATAGACTACGGTGTCGTGATGTTAATCAAACTTTACATGTAAACTGTAATTTGGTGTAACTTAAAAGATAAGCTAGTTTTCTCTCAACATTCACAGCACGCTATTAAGATGTTTATTAATAATGACGTTACGTGACTGACAACTCACGTCGCATCTTCCGTCAGATATGCATTGACGCTTAGAATTGAAAATGTGCTTTAACATCTCTAAAATTCCTGATCAATAGGTACTCAATAATTATCACATAGGTTCAAGTATTCTAGAACTTCAGTCGTCATCTCAGTATTGTATTTAAAATGACTTAAGCGTTTCTCCAGATCAATTTACCCCTTTCGTATAATATTCTTCGAGTACAGTACCTTCGATCGTAAAATGCTTAACAGCTTCATTGTTCAAGAAATGTTGCTAAGTCAACATGTATCTTGTTGTAACATACAGCCAATTTCTTGCGAACACTCAATTATAACCGCACGTTGTCACCCATTGTCGTATAAGTACGGGAAGAGTATTGAGATTATTATGAGATCTTGTTGAATTGTTATTTATGATGCTATTTCCGCATATGTGAGGTCTTGAATGCTTTTTGCAATGTGAATTGTGATTGTGTGCTACGCATCTATAGAAAATGTCCTTTTCTATAGATGCGTAGCACCATCACTAACTGTGGTCTTAAACTGCCCCATATAAGATAAACAAATTTACTATATTCTATTTATAAGGCAACGAAACATCTGTTTTCTATATGGGAGGTGATTTAGTTATCTGACAATAACTGCTTATGTCGGTTGTATATTTGAACCGATAGTATTTAGGGCAAATCAAAGATGTTCAAGTATTTTTAGTGCAAACTTATTGGTCGTAATATATTTAGATTTTTTTTAGAATAGATTGTGTTTCTGGCAGTGATAAAAACGCCCTTTGACACGTACGATTTGGTGGCAACGCACCATGAAGCACATTCAATGTCAACTCCATTCATGTCGCGCACAATACCAACACTATCTCGGCCAAGCCCGACTTCGTTCATTCAGCTTATTGTGAATTATTCATTACCTTTTATGACAACATAAGAATTGGATCTATTCGGTATTAGTATTAAATGAACAAATCGCTGCTGAAATATTTCCCTAAGGCTATTATCAATTTATTTCTTCAATTGGAAATGTAAAACAAACTCATTTTTTCAATGCTAGAGGATTTATGAATTCTTCGATAAAAAGTATTTTGCATTTTCAAGATGACCGTGAAATCTAGCTCGAATGTAAGTTTCTTACACCCGGTTTCTGAATTGAGAATTTGAAGTTGAGTTTTCTCAATTCACAAACCGACCTTTTTGAAAATGAGAAAACAAAATGGATCGAGAATAAAAATTTGCTTTTTGTGGTTTGTTTAGGTTAATTTCATTATTTGATTATTTGTATACGTATCTAACAATTTTGGTAAAGCTGGTAACGTTATAAGAAACCTTACTATCGAAAAATTGTTCATGTATAACTACAGTGTAAAATGTTAGCTCCCGAGAATAGGAAATCAAGTATTCCAAATAAGGAAGTGAATTGTGAGTTTTGCATTAACATTGATTTCTTGATTATTTAATAAAATACAATATTTTAAGGCAAGCAACCGCCATTTTTTTTAAATACATGTAAGATTGTAGTGGTTCGATTGTTGATTAGTTTAGAATAGCTTCGGCCGGCCCCGTTCACACGGGTTGCGTGCTGGTGACGACAGTCGCTGACTCTCGCGTTGGTAGACGGAAAGAAGTGTCACGTTACAGTAACACGAATACTATTACAACACTGAAATGTTACAACATGTAGGTACCTACGCGGTACATATTCGAATTAACAATTTTATTTAATATTTAAAAATTAATTAAAAAATCCTTATTGAAAGCGTTTCTAAATTGTCTGTTTACCTATAGTTACTCAGCTAGTTTTGGCTAGCGAGAAGAATAAGTCCAGCACGTTTATCAACTCTTAATGTAGTAACAATATTTACATTAATTTGTTAATTACTAAATCAGTGGATGCCAATATTAAATATGTAATAGTAGAAGAACGTAGAAAATTAAGTCAAAGGCATTAAGTCCATGCATTGCAAATTTTAAAATTAATCATTAGTTTTATAATAGCCTTTACAAATAATAATGGAACATGGAAACAGAGCACATAAATAAGAAGCTGAATTATGTACACCGCTTTTTGTTCTTCATTTCAAATCTGAAATCAAATGAATCGAGTAATTTGAAGTTTCGAGTAATCAATAAGTTGGCTTAACACTAATGTTGCCATATAAACCATACATCGTTCCTTTACACGTAACATAATTAATAATTTAAACTTGCAGTTCAAATAGATTAAAATTAATTTGAAAGTTAAGTATTATAAGAAAGTCGAAACGAAGTCATAAAAATTAATTTTCGTTACTCAATTTAATTTTTTTATTAGGACAGAAAGAAAATTTGAATGAATATCAGTCATTATCTGAAAATCGATGGTAACATCTAGTTTGCTTTCAAGAACTGACTTTTTTTTTAATACTTCCTCATTATTCTACCCAATAATATCCTCTTATTTTCTGATGTTACTTTTATTTGTTTAAAGGTTGTCTTAATTAAAATGGTACAAGGCACGGTCAACTCTATATTTGTAGTAAAAATATATAAGTACTTGCACAAAGAGTAAATATATATTAGAGAAAAGAGAGTCCACTTTCCATTTTTTTGTCTTAGAGTGTGAGGACGTTGTCAGATATAGGTCTAACGGGCTTTCCGTTAGATGGCGTCACTGTGTCGATGCGATGTAGGTCTTATCGATCTTTGTTATTATATATTTCTATATACATATCTATATGAATATATATATATGATAATATTGTACGTCTTTTCTTGTCCACTTAGATATTTTAAAAAATAAATGAAGCATTACACATGTTAATATATAATAGAATAATAAAAATTTTATTTCAATATTAATAGGATTAATGCCAATTCTAAAATCTTCTTATTCTTTTATCCCTCCTAAGTTTTCTTATGACGAGCAAGATTTCAACATTACGCCCTAAGTATCATAATCCCAATTATCTTTCGCCATATACTTTTATTATAGAAAAAAATTTATTCTAAACTTAATGAAACAAATCATGAAAGGGATCAATTATATAATTTCATTGAAGTCAACAATTGTGTTGCTAAGCGACTTAAAACCCCATGTTTGGTTGCTTGGCTACATCACTGTTGACGTTTCAAAATACGTACGATGGCGCTAGTAAAAATATTTACTGTCACTTGTATGTGAGTGCCCCCCCCCCTGTATTTGTTTATTTGCCGTTGTCATTTAGTTGTGTAGAACGCACTATTTACACCACAATATTAATTTATTCATAAATTACATTTGGTTAATATTACATTGTAATTAAAGGTAATGTTTTTTGCATTCATCAACGTTTAGTTAAATTTGTGTGTATACATTTTTTGTTTATGTATATACTAGGTCGACTTCTGTGTCGAACAAGTAGAGGAAACAAGATAACTTTTATAATCACTATTTAATCAGCAAATATTCTATCTTAAATATAAAAAATAAAACAAAGATATTAATAATAACAGAAATAGAAAGCTTCTCTGTGTGTTCATACTTTTGCAAAGTTTCTTTAATCTTACAATTTCTAAAATTTTGTGAGTGCTCTATAGCATTTTATCTATTGTATAATAACGTAAGTAGTAATTACATCTTCCAAAGTATGGAAGGTCAGTTAGGAAAAGCACTGAGCCTAATATTGAACCTAGCAGCACGCCGCCAAAACTGATGAGTTCTTCTGCCGATTCCGATTCCTAAGTAACAATTTTCTAAAGTCCAATCCAGAATATAAAATTCAGTGAACATTTTCTTTACACCAGAATGCTTAAACTTTTATTGGTGTTTTACAGCTAACGTCGTCAAATGCCTTTAAGAAACCACAAAAACTGTCGTTCGCATTCTGCTTACGCTTTCAAACTATCGATTTTTGGTGACAATGTTAATAATAACAGTTTATACCACTTAATGAATTGGGTTCATAAGTTAGACGTATAATGACAAATATTTCACGTAACATGTGAGCAATCATATCGTAGGAAATAACATTAAGTAGATAATCTCTTAATGCTATTTGACATGTTTTACGAGGACACACAGTATGGAGATGCGTATCGTTATTATATGTATATATTTTAATATCTTAAAAGCCAATATCTTCATCGATAATTGAGTATGTATATCACATGCAAAAAGAATTCATAAAATGCGACTAGTAGGTTCAAAAATTTCAGTCTTAGTTATCTTTGTATGGATAGAAATCTTTAAAGTAAATATAGCTATTTATATGTAAAATGTAAAGCAGAAAGTTATAGAACAAGGGAACAAAGTTTATTGAACACCTAACTAAGTACATTATTAAGCGCGTGTTCTTCATAATATTTCATAATTTCTTTTTTCTTGTCTCCAGCCAAACCGAGGAGCGGATAATCAGGTAGCTTGTATTTTACATTGATCTATGTATTCTTACAATGTGTTCGTCTGTTCACTGTTTATAATGTTATAATTATCTTATTATTACGAGTACATAAAACTTATACGCTTCAGATAACTAGTATTGCTTGTGACGTCTCGTAGCGTACATACTAACATTAGACTTATGTTTTCGTTTAACATGGGTGATAGTGACAATAGTATAATATTTTATTGAGATGTACACTCGACTGCATGTCAGACTACAAAACTCACAAATTTCCCCACTAGATTTTAAACCTTGCAATATTGAGAGTAAAGGTCAAAATCCATTGTAGAAATTTGACATATTGTGATAACCTGATATGCAGCCGTGGGTTACAAGATGTTATGATAGGCATAGTGCGATTGTCTTAATTGGATATACGCAAAAAAAAAAAAGAATAAATCGCCTATTATGTGCACGTCTATGCTTATTTTGTACATTTATTAACTACACATGCAGTCGGTTACAACAGAATTAATTATATTTCACAAAGTTAGCTAGAGAGAGGGTTAATATAAATTTTATTCTAATGTTTAGTAAAATTGAACAAACAAATAACACGGCATCAAATTCCAACGAATGTATAGTAGATGATTACTAGAATAAACTCAATTAAGTAAACTATTGATGAATCTTACATACACTGAACGGGTATCATTGATTTACATAAAGATTTTAGTTAGAGACTAAGTTTCTAATGAAATCGTTTATGATAACTTGTTTTATCCATTAATAGGGGGGAAACAGCTCTCGCCGATTTTTTGCTTCATCGCAAATTAATTCGACTCGAGACTTTATAACACAATCATAGCTGAACGATAAAAAAATATACATTTTAAACGCTTTTAATTGAATACAATTTAATGGTGTTTTGTTTGAACAGCTGTTTGCGGCCAGTGCGACACATCTGCACGACGTCAGACGCTCGAACCCCCCAGATTCTGGCTTCTCGGAACCGGTAAACAACAACATAACAGAGGACAATAACAATGGCCCGATATCGTTGCGGGAGATGCAGAACATTGCTAACAACAATGCCGCCGCGTACATAGTCAGCGAGAACGAGGAGAGGAACAGGGTCAGTCGAGAGTCAGTGGTGGAGTTTGAACCGTTACCGGCTGGTATTAGAGTCGCCGATCCTTTGGAGCCACACGCCGATTGGTTTGGTTAGTATACATTTTTAAGGACTAGATTAAAAAACTACTCGCTTTAATCTAACCTTGTATGGAAATTAGATTCGATCGGTAAGTTTATCCAACAACAATGATTCAATAAGTAGATATTGGTATTAAACACACCGTGAAATATGGCAGTTGAAACGAGGATGATTCACATTTTAAATGTATTTTAGTGTTATCAATAGATTTATATTTATGACAATCGATCGTTCTAACATTTAGTTTGATAATTGAGACAAAATACACTAGAATGAACCGTTATTCATGATAGATCTTTTTTATTTATTATCGTTATGAAGTCAAGGACGAATTAGACATCGGAAAGTGCCTAGCCTATCCATTTTGTAATTGATCGGATTCCTTCAAATGAAATGGAATAGGAGTTGTCGTGTTACGTTAGATGCCAGACAATTGCCTAACAAATTGAAATCACTTTCGCTTGACCTATACGATCGTATGTAAGAGAATTTGTCAATAATATTACGATCGTCGCACAGCTTATGTGGTTTGGACCTTTTTGGGGATGTGCACTGTTATAAATTGCTATACGTTACCCTTCAGATGGCGAAGATTTCCCCAGAAATCGATTGCAGTACCTTCGGGAAATCGGGCGTGGATGGTTCGGCAGGGTATGTTTGTCATCTTTTAATACTATATTTTTATTTGTTTGTTCTGTTATGCAAATAACAGTAAGTACTTCATATTTATTAACCTTTATCCACGTCTAAATCTGCTGGCTTGGTATGAATTAGCCCATGACCCTTCTCAGATCTTAAAGTCACTCTATATGAAATTCCATGATGATGAGTCCATGGGTTTTTCTATAAAAGCATGATAGACAAACAATTAGCGAGTATCTATTTTTTATGTAGTTGGATATGGAGTTCAATGTAAAAATATTCAGTATATAACATACTGAATTTTGTTAGACGAAGCAAAGAGGTGTTAATTTAATATCTCAATGTCTTTAATACCCGCTTTAGGGCCCGCTCTGTTGTCTATGGTCCATTTAAATAAAAGTAAAAATATGTTTATACAAATAATCTTGTTAGGGTTCCGTACTCAAAAGGTAAAACGAGAACTTTATTTCTAAGACTTCGCTGTCTGTATGTCTGTCTGTCACCAGACTCATGATCCGTGAAAGTAAGACAGTTGATTTCTTCACAAATAATGAATTTCTTTTGCCGCTATAACAACAAATACTAAAAAATAGTATAAAATATATTTTTGCCTTATACGATTTATTCTTATGGAAGGCATTTGTTCCAGCTGTTTTGTGATAAAAAATAGGACTTATTTAAAGTTGTTTTCCTTGCTCAGGTTGTGGAAGGCGAAATCGAAGACGAAGGTAGCACAAGCACAGTCGCAGTGAAGATATTAAATCAGAATGCGTCTTTGGAGGATAAAGCCAGGTTCTTACAAGAAGCCAGGATATACCGGGATGTTAGGCACGAAAATATATTGGGATTTATTGCGAAGTGTGTCACGGAAGATCCATGGATCATGATATATGAATTATGTCCAATGGTGAGTTTGTGATGAAGTTTACTTCCAAAGATATAGAATTTTATTGTAGTAATAAGAAAATAATGTTTGTTATTATCAGTTCTTAAAATTAATGTATATTTTTAAGTAAAAATTATCTAATATGATAAATTGAAGAATTATATTATTTAACAGGATCTTCAGCAATATTTATTAACTAATAGACATAAGATGGCGGCGTTGAGCGAAGGAGGTGTGCCATTACGGCTCATGTGCGACGTCACCGCGGCGCTTGCGCACCTGCACTCCCGTGGACTCCTATATGGGTGAGTGGACTAACTTATTTCATTGCGATAAGGTCTAATTTACCTGTTCACTTACCTGTTTTTGATTATATCATGGATTAAATTCAATATTTTTTACTTATGTGAATGAATTCGGATACCGTACGGGACAATAGACTTTTATCTACTCCTGACATCATGTTAACATTTATAGAAGTCTCTTCTAGAGTTCGTCATTCTCATATCAACACTATCTCACTCTTGACCTTTGAAAGGTGTAGAACAGCGTTTCTTGACTTTTCCTCCTTAGGAACCATTTGAAAAATTTCTGGTTTATTATGCAGTAGTTATTAAGTTAAGGGTCATTCTATAAATTTAATCCTCCTCTCTACGGATCACTTGGGATATACTTTAAGGGACCACACACTAGTGGTCCATCGTTCACCGGTTAAGAACCATTGGTATGGACAAAATCTTTCACGGCATTCGTCAAGCTAACTGCGCTACTGCTTAATATGCGTAGACTTCAGAATTTCGGCCAAATTTCGAATGTACTTTCGTTTATACAATTATTTATCGCAAGCCTTCCGCCAGCGGCTTCGCCCTCGTAATCTAGTTTTAGGTCCAGAAGTCACAAAAATTCATAAAAACCTTCATCCCTTAATTTACCCCCTTAGGGGTCGAATTTTGTAAATTCCCGTCTTAATGAGCACTTACGGCCTAAGAAGAAACCGCATGCAAAATTTGAAACTCCTAGCTCTTGTAGTTTCTGAGATTTCGTGATGAGTGAAAGTGTCCTTTCTCTTTTATATATATAGATAGATTACAATTAGTGTGCCTCAATTTGAACAAACTTATATACATAGCTGCATAAAAAACGTATAATCTTATAATAACCTTGTGTTGAATGCAACATTGCACTTTATTATGTTAGGTCATCATACCATTAGCAGTACAATGAATCAACACTTTTATTATAATATTAAAATAGATACCAATGATAATTTACACTGAAACAGCGGTTATTATATACATTTGTGGATTACTTATTCATGATCTTTTTTTAGAATCATACATGTTTTGTAGCTTTCATCTTCAATATGATTCACATTCAATATCAATAAAAGTAGGGAACTCGGAAAAATATGATCGTATTTTAAAATAACAAAAACAAATAAGAATTTCTTAATTTTCTTTACTACTTGGGTAAACTATATTTTACCTGTCACCCCCTTATTTCACAGCCCCTTTTCGCCTCCGTAGAGTTTGAATTTCTAAAAATTATTTCTTAGTGCTTGTTCACTCAATCATGAAAGGTAAAGTGAAATTTTGTAAATTGTAGCTTTCGCTCGTCCGTCTTTTACGGTTGTCAACCCCTGGTCTAGTATGCAAAGTTGAATTTCATATAATATATTTGTCAGTTCAGCAAAAAGTTAATAACTCTTTCAAGGGTCTTTGTGTGCGCTTCTACAATAAGGTCCCAAGCAAAATACAATAATTAGATATCATGCAGTTTAAATCTACTATTAAAAAAATACTTATTAAAAAATCTTATTATAAGGTATCCGATTATGTAACAGATAAGAACGCTTGGACTTGAGATGATCCAGCAACTGGATAGGTGATTACTTCTAAACTCATTATCTTGTTTCCATTATTATTAAATGATTATGTTATTATTATAAGACCATAGTTTTTTTATCTCTGTTTATAATGTATTGATCTGGTAATGACATGGTTTTTGTAAATGTCATTACTCATATTAGAGCTGGTGAGTTTCTTGCTCGTTCTTCTTATCAGCCAAAAGACGTCCTGAACGAGTGGTAGGGAAAAAATGTTGGACGATTCAAAAGTACTTTTAAGAAGTCTATTTGAATAAAGATTATTTTGACTTTGACTTTGAGTTTTGACGTTTCATGATCGAACAAATCGCCGGACATCTTCCGTCATAAATGCGGCGACCACTAGTATTCGATTCGCTATTGCAAGAGAGTCTGATGTTTTTTTTTGCAGGGTTATAATCGAGTTTGTGCTTAGTCTTATTTAACGTGTACATACCTCTGTACGAGGGTTGTTCAAAAAGTGGTGACAATGACGTAGTAATGGAGGGTACTTGAAAAAAAAAATTTGGTCTTTGTTATAATACCCTCAAATAATTAGGTTTCTATCTTGTCTGTGTCAGTTGTATTAATTATTTGTTTGTGACGCGTCGTTAACTCTCGCATAAATGGATAAAATTGAAATTCGTGCAGAAATAAAATGCATTTGCTTGAAAAATTTTACTACGGAACAAATTTTTAAAGATTTATGTGAGACATTGGGGGAGTCTGCTCCTCCATATTCGGTAGAACATCAGTTAAAGATGATCCGCCCTCGGGCCGCCCTTCAACGTCAGTCACTCAGGAAATGGTCGAGAAAGTTGAAAAAATTGTTCTGGATGGTGTCCGTGTAACTGTCCGTTTTATAGCTGAAGAGTTGAAGATTTAAAGTGGTAGTCTGCATTGCATTTTGCAAGATCACTTAAGAATGAAAAAGGTATCCGCGCGTTGGGTCCCTAGAATGCTAACGGACGCACAAAAGCAAACGCGACTCAACATTTCAAAGAGCTCATTGGAACTGTTTCAACGAGATTCTGATCTTGTTTTGGCTCGATTCGTAACAATGGATGAAACATGGCTTCACCATTATGATCCAGAAACGAAAAAAACAATCAATATCCTGGAAAAGACCGACATCTCACACACCAAAGAAATTCAAAAGTCAACCATCCGCCGGCAAAATTTTTTAAGTACTCAAGATGAATATTTTTTTAAAAAGGCAATTTTGGCTCTAGAAAAACGTGATTACGTCGAAAAAATAAATAAATAATAAATTCATTCTCTAACATTCAGCCATTCTCACTACTTTTGGAACACCCCTCGTATACGAAACGCTTGTTGCCACCAAATTCCGACTTACAGAACACTAAATAACAGAAAATAGTATATGTAGGAAAAAATGCAATGAATTTTTTTTAATTTAATACGTAATGATAAATAAATAATATAAAATATTTTTTATCATTTTCAATATAATACTTGAAAAAGGACAGTCTTAGATGTCGCTCTGGTCCGGCGGTTTCTTTTTTTTGAGACCCTAAATTTTAATCTAATAAGATAGTAATGCAATTTTATTAATTTATTAAACTTTATTGACCAGTAAAAAAATGGTACAAAAAGCTGACTCAATGCTAATAGCATTCTCTCCCAGAGAAAAACCATAAACGCGATTTAATGACACGAAATTTTACTATTTCTGTTTATTTCAAAGTGAATTTTTATTTTTGTGTAATTTCGTGACTTATTTCCCACTACCGTATTCGTTATGATAATGTTTATGTCCTCAGTAACGTGTGGACGGGGGCGGTGTTAGTGCGCGGCACGGCCGAACACGCGACCGCCGTGCTCGGCAGTTACGTGACGTCTGAACCAAACTTCGACATCGCCGCTCCCGAGACCAGACGGAATCCCCCAATGCACATGGTATGTTATATTTACATTTAATTTTGAATTTAATTATCAACGTATTAAGGTTGAAAATCTATTGGAGAAATTTGGCATATTTAATTACTATGGAAATCAAATTAATATAAAATAAAATATTATTGAGTTAATACAGGACCTTTTGAATAAGTCGATTGATTTCCTGTTCTATCAAAGCGAAAAATAAAATAAAACGCGTCAGGTGCTGGTTATCCGGTGAAAATTATGAAAGTCGTCCTGAGGAATTCGGAATATTAAATAAACCTCGAACTCTCTGTTGACGACGATTAGTGCAATCGGCCCGCTCTTTTAATATTCATATAATTAAATAGTAATGTGTGTATTGTAGTAATAAGATGTGCTGTTAGTGAAGTGTTGTAATAATTAGTATATTTCGCTGATGGTGCAAAACCGATGTCGGACTGGTGTGTTACCCCCATCCTATTTAGTCGAGAATGAGAGCGCAACTCCAACCAATAGGAGGACAGCGCTCGCGCACATCGTCCCACCCACGACCAGCCGGCTTCGGACTTGTTCAAGAAGCGAACAATGAGCGCGATAACTACGCGAACATATTTGCACTAACAGCGGAACATTTGTTTTTATAAAATCGGACGTTTCATTCATTTCAACTATTCTCTTGACTTCGTGTGCCCTCTTGTCTTTTTGACGCCATAGCCTCCCCAATTATAATTTTGTCCTTTCTGTACCGTTTGCCTGATCGCGTCTAAGCGATAAGGCCGCCGATTTTACAGATTGTTAGATTATAACTGTAAATTTTGTGACTGTATGGTGTACATACAAAAAAGAATATTTCATTCATTCATTCATTCATTATGTGTGCTGCGTGCAGGCCAGCAGCGAGGTGTTCAGTTTGGGCGCGCTGGTGTGGCAGGTGTGCGCGTGGGGCGCCGCGCCCCCTTCCGCGTCCCCCGCTGCGCCCCCGCCCCCGCCCCCGCCCGACCTGCCCTGCGTCTACAGGCCGCATCTGTGAGTTACGCCGCCGCATTAATAGCACCCTCGTGACGTTATATTAAAATAGAAAGTATAGATAGCACAAAATGCAAGACATAAATACACAAGGTGTAATATTATTATATGCCAGGACTTTGTGGATAACATTTACAATGGGAGCAACACTGAATTCACGAAAAAATAATCTAAAAAAAATAAATAGTGAACATCAAAATTAGAACTTCACAAGATGTGTACAAAACTCAAATTTTTTTACGCTTTTTTGGAAACAAAAATATGTATCTTAGTTTTAAATAAAATTGCAAAACGATTTATTAGTATAAATTTATTGGCATTTATTTTATTAGTGATGGAGAATGTGTTCCGTATTTATTAACAATATCGTGAGCGACATAATATGTGGCAGTAATTTATATTTCAAACGATTCATTGAATCTCGCCCCTACGAATTCATTTTATGATATCTGTGACACATGTTCTTAAAGATGTCATAATACAAAGAGCGACGTTGATAAGGGTACGATTGTTCATTTCGATCGCTTCTGTAAACGTAGGTACGTAGGTACCTTTCATACATTCGAAATTGTATGTCTGTTATGGTATATATGCGGCAATAATTTACCAATGTCCTGTGTTATATGAATATTTAACAAAAGATTTTTCTTATAACAGATGTCATTTGTTATCGTCAACTACAGAATATTTAAAATTATATATAACTAGCTGTTGTTTCGCGCCTTTAAAATTATAGCCTATGTCACATTGACATGCCAAATGTCAAATAGGTCCAGTTGCTACGTAGCCTAATCTATGCGACAAATAATCAAATCTTTCCTCTTTATAATATTAGTATAGATAACGTTTCGTTATTTCTTAATATTTATAATATTTTTCAATTCAGTTGCTCATAAAGCGCTATTTTTTAATCCATTGTGAACACCGAAAATGAGTCTTTAAACACGTGTTAAATAAAAATGTACTGAAATCCTTTACTGCACACGTGCTTAAAATATTTTTTAAATTTTTTATGGCTGAGCACCAAATAAATAAAAAAAAAATTGATGAAAATATGTCAAACTTTAGAGGCAAAAGTATTTCAAGGAGCCTAGAATGAATATTTTCAAATAAAAATGTATGACACGAAAACATGTGCAAATATCACGTTTAATTTTAACAAATAATTTTTACCTTTAATACATACTTAGTTTTATTAACCTATAATATTTGTTTTATTTCCTCGCAAAAAGCATTGAAAAATGTTGTAAGAAACTTGAGCGTAAAAGCTTTTTCGAATTCGTGCCAATGAAATTTGACCCTTATTCGTAAAACCTTACTTTCCGCACTCGTATCTTACATAACTATAATATAATGCTATCTTTCGCAGATATCAGGTAATGCAACTGTGCTGGAACACGAATCCTGACGCTCGGCCTACTGCCATGCAAGTGCACGCTCTCCTCGACCACTTGTACACGACTCATACGCGAGCGGAAGATTCTTCTCGCGACGACGGCTACGGCAGCAGCGATTTCGAAGAGAGATGGCAACGACTCAAACCTAACACCATACCAGTGAAGGACGAGCACGTGGCCATTGTGCACGCCCCTTCCACATCCACAGCATCACACTTCACAGCATCCGAAGAGTCAGATATCCCCCCAACAATCAACGATACCCTCAGTGTCGACATGGACACGGCCGTCTCTCGCTCCAGTAGTATAATGTCCGACAGAGACCCTCTCTCCGTCCAGATTAAGTCTGAAAGCCTAACCAATCTCCACGGCTCATTAGAAGACGTCCGCAATATCTATCTTACTCACAACGAGATGGCCGTTCTTGAATGCCATCAAGGCAATATGGCTCTAGAAGACAGCAAAGATAAGGATCACGATCGCTCGGACGCCTCAATGGATCCCTGGCTCAAAGAAATAATAGCCGGTAGTCAGGATGATGTGAGCTATTACAGAGATGTCAGCGACGTCATAAAGAATCTTGACAACATTTTGAATTCGGAGAAAACGTCCAGTTCGGAATCCAGCCATCAAGCCAGCCCCTCGAGAGATAATTTGAGTTTGGATTGTAAGAAGGATTATCCAATGCAGTCGAGTATGGTGAAATCGCCGGGCATCACTAATTTCCAGAATATCCTTGAATCCGGCTTTGTTTCTACTTCGCCGGGTAACGAACCATGTGAAGATGATGATGTCGAACGTGATACGATAGGCACTCTCAGCCACTCGTTTGAAAGGCATAGCGACACTTTAAGCCAGCAAACTTTGGAAAATTTAACTCCCGAAACGCCTGTCAAAGATTTAATTCTGGTCGGTCCTATTGCACACGAAAACAGAATTATTATAGAAAAACTAGAAAATGAAAGTTGTAGAATTAACGATATAGAAAAAATAACAGCATTGCCAGAGGAAACTGAATTGCCAAAAGAAATTAAAGTAGTGAATAATGATAGTCAAATCCCCATGTTAAAGGAACTATGTGTAGCATCAATCTCTAGTGTAAGTGAAACGAAGCATGAAGTAACGAATGCGACCCAAGACTGTATGAGATCATGTGATAATAAATTAGCAGATGAAAGAACTGATGATAAACAAATTGAAACTAAGTCAATAGATGTTGTAGTGAGATCTAGTAGCATTATAGAAGCAATAACAGATGAAGATAATGTAGTAGGAAATCGAGAAGTAGAAATAGATAAACATGAAGATATTCGCGAAGATAAGGTCATAAACGTCAACGAAACTTCAATAGGAATAAATGAAAACATTGAAATATTGATTGAGGATACGATAAATACCAATAAATTTACTGAAACAAGATCAAATGATGATAAGAACTCTAAAGCAGTGATAAGTAGTGATGTCATTGATACATCACACGACTCCTTAATAAAAAGCGAATCCGATGGTACAAAGGAAATTGTTAGCAAAGTGACAGAAGTGGTAGACCATCTTGAATCTCAAGCACCTGAATCAGTACAAAATACTATCAATATCGAACCAACTGCCCCATCGTTACCCCTTGAAGTTGAAAACAATTTAAAAGTTATAGGTTCTGATAGTATATCAATAGTTGAATCGTCACCTGAAATAGTACAAAACATAAATACAGAAAAAGTTCTCGAAATAGAATCGGAAGTGCAAAATAATATAGATAATGAAGATGTAACATCCATATCTGAACATGAAGTAATTACAACAGAAAAATCTAACGATAGCACTGCTTATATGGATCTCATTAACGTAACAAGTAACGATATTGTAAAGGATTGTCCTATAGACGAAAATGTTAAAGAAGTCATAAAATCTTGCTTAAACTCGACGCATACAGACAGTATTTGCACATTGGTAAAGAATGAATCCACCGTTTACATGGATTTGCCGAGTATGTTAAAGGAAACTGATGTCTTCTTACATTCAGAAAGGACAGTGAGCAGCCAAAATATGAAATTTAAAGATATCTGTTCTAGTACTCCTTTGGGCAGCGACAAATCCAACGATGAGACATTAGAAAATTCGATAAAAACTAATGAAACAGAAATATTGTCAGACACCAAAGTGCCAGATTATGGTCCAGGAGTAGTACTCACCAAATTAGAACAACGGTACGTTCCTGATACCTTGAGCCCTTTCGAATCGCCCACTAAAAGTCATCCGACGGACACATATGATGAAAACAGCTCTGTAGTATTGGGTTCTTTTGAGAATTGCACATTAGAGCTTTTCAAAGCTGCTAAATCTGGGGAAATCGTTGATCTGCCTAAGGAGGAACTGTTAGCGTTTTCGTCGAACTTCAGCGAAATCAATTTAGAAACTCCATCGCCTTTGCGCGACGGTAGATTTCTACACGAAGTTCCTGACATAATTCCAGATGACGACATACAATTTGACGATATAGAGACCATCAGTGAAATAAAAATCGAACCATATGAAGTACAATCGGAGAGCAATTCTAACGAGACAGATGATCAATTGGGTACAGAGAAACGCGTCTCACCTTTAACACCGCCGAATTCACCAGGCACTTTCCTGGTTTCTAGTGTATCACAGCAGAGTTATATAGTAGATATCGACTTAGACCCAATTCCCGGTCCGTCACGTTTGGAATTAGATCCTACACCAGCGATGACTAAAGATATTGTGGATTTAAATCAGATAGAGTTGCAAATCACTACAAAGTTAGCTATGGCCGAGAACGAGAACAATTTGAATATTGAATATTCGGGGCCATTGAGCGTACAAGGTCTTCAGGATATTTCTAATCTGCTAGAATCAAAACCAGAAGAGGCTATTTTGGCAGGAAACGGTGGTTCTTCACCGAGAAATGTAGAATTGGATGAAGAATGTGTGAAGGCGCTGCGGAATGAGCTGGAGTTGAAGTTGCCTCTAGCGCAGGTAAGATCATTATAAACATTATTGCGATCATATAACTTTTTCATATATGTAGATAACAACAGAATTCTATAGCTCCCAAATTTCAAGTTAAATGATTGGAGTTAAAATCGCTGCTATGTTATTTTTAGACAATACATATTAATATGGATAGGATGCTGAGGTATGAAATTTTTTTAGAACTGATAAATAAAATATTGTCACTGCTGTTTGTTTAATATTTAAAGTAAACCAGCAATGGATTTATTTATCTGCTAACAATTATTAAATTTGTTTTTGAATTGGATTTAAATCGGATATCGGATTTTAATACGGCTTTATTCGGACTACTGGACAATGAAATAATTTATTTCTCATCACAAATATATAATTAAATAACATTTTCATATTATCATTATAATATGATAGGTAGCTACAATACAACCGGAGGGCAGCGTGGAATGGAGCGGATCAGTTCCTCCGCCACCCGAGTTGGTGGTGAACTATCCTGGGGCACTCAGTCCCATACCCGAGGAGACCAAGCAACAATTGTCCGCCATAGAAAATGATCTGCCATGTGAGTACCCCTTAATATTTTCTTTTCTTTTTTATATTTTTAAGTTTTAGTTCGTTCTTCTATTTCCTTTTACTTCCTTTCTTTACGCTGTTTCTTCCTAGATCTATTCTTCTTTTCATGGTTTATGTCTCTCCCTGAGACTATATCTTTCAGGGAAGATGTTCCGGTTCCTCAATCCCATTACTCTGATATGCAAACAGGACTATAATATGTATATATTTATGTGACGCTTATAGATCGAAATTTTATTGCTCATTGACCTAAAAAATAGTTCACAACACGTTGTGGCAATCATAGAATAACATAGCGAAATTTTTGTTATGGCTCTAATGGAAACGGTCACGATGAATAGGGATGATGACTGGGTAAAAAAAAATGCAATTCTATTTAGTCCGTCAGTCAGATAATAGAAAAATATTAGATACTTATTTTTTTTACTTCAATTTAACAAGAAATAACTTAGATAACAGGCATTAAAGTTGAGAAGTGGGGGCTCGCTACGTCACAGTTGAGTAGAAAACGTAATCTAACGTGACGTCATGCGAAATTTCAACTCCATGTAACGCCGTAATTTTATGATTACGAAAAAAATAAAAAAAATACGTGTTTAATATTTTTTAACACTACCTGACGGACAAACAAACAAAAATTAGTCATCATCCCTATTGTGGCATTCACAGAATAACCACATAGCGAAATCCTAGTCGTGGCTGTCATGCTATTAGATTACAATGCAATATGACAATGAAGAAAAGCCACGACATGTTCTGATCATTAATTGGTATAAATCATAACACTAAGGACTGGATGTAGTATTAGTTAATTCGATAATGGTTTGCTCACAGTCCTCCCAATACGCTCCTCTCTTCGCTCGTCATCACACCTAATTTTTAATGTGACCTAAACTAACCTGTTTGATTTTAAAATTGGGAATTCGCTTCTGGTACTTTGCCGGCCGCAGCCGCAGCACGCTCGCTTTGCTCGCTTGGCTCGAGCGTTGTTTGTCATACACTAACCTAACTTATGTTTCTGTTGCCTGAACAAAAATCCATATCGCAAAGTAGTGTGTGTAATCAAATATGGTTCAATACGCTTTCTGGTTTTTCTTCATTGCCACAACGCGTTGTGGTCGTATAGCATGATAGCCTCGACACTGGTTATTCCGTAAATGTCTTAATGCGTCGTGAGCGTTTCCGTGAGAACACGAATGGGTTGTGAACTATTTTTTCGCTCAATGATTTCGATATTTGAGCGTAACATTTATACAACAAGAATATATTATAGACTTATAATGCTTATTAAAAACCTACCAAAAAATACACCGATTCACAGAAACGGCATTAACAATATCCAATTATGCATAATTAATTAAATGACAAATATATATGATCATTGCAATGTTATTTGATCCCTAGGGAGTATATCGTCGGAGAGTTACCCGGAGCCGTGTCAGTGGTCGCAGGCGGACACGGCGCCGCCCACGTGCACCTCGCCCGCGGACAGAACGTACACACTGCAACACGAGTATGTCACGCATGCTATATTGTATACAATTATACTAGCTGTTTTCCCGTGACCTCGTCCGCGTCAAGTGTTGTGTCATACAAGTGAAAATACAGATTTCTGTTATATGTTCGGAAAACATGAACTAAATTTAGTTATAAATTTTATGACACTAATTTTGAAAATATTATGCTATGAAAACTTGATTGATATAAAATTATGTATATGTATTAATGGGTATTCAGACTTATTGATAAATATGACTTTCCTTCCAGAACTAAGGTATTAAAGTTAACAAAAGGTTAAACAAATAATGAAAATCAATCAATCTACTCACTGATAGTGATGTACATATTTTTTTTCTTATACAATCCTATTTAAAAATTTAACTGCTGTACTAGCTGAGCTACTTTTCTTTTTTAATTTTTAGTAATCTACTTAAACAGCGGAACTTATGAGGCTATAAAATAGAAAAAAAAATTGATTTCCCTCACAAACTACAAAATAAGCTACATAACATAACAAAATTTTAAAATTGTTCCAGTAGTTTCGAAGTCTCTTCGATGCAAAAAAAAAAAAACAAATATTTCCTTTTTATAATATCAGTATAGATGATAAGCATGTTTACTTATGTGAATTTGCAGGGATACAATGAGCGCCGACAGCTTGAACGCCAGTCCGATAAAGAAACCGCCAACCGACTCGCCCATCGACGACAAAACGTTCACGAAACACGACGATGACGACAAACAATCCAATTGCGAAAGAATATCGCAAGTGTCGCCCTTCATTATCAGTCCCACCACGGAAAATTCAGACTTTGTCGACAACGGTACGGGCGTATCCACATTGTCGAAAACTACCGTGCCCACAGACGCGAAGTCATCGAAGCCGTCCGAAACGCAATGTCTCTCCAAAGCCACCAGTATAGATTCCTGGTGCTCGAACGATACTCTCTACAATGTAGAGGAGAATTTCGACGATCTCGCTATGGATCCCGATGTACCGCTGGAATTCGAGAAAGACGAACACAGTGAAAGCAGTCACACGCTCACACACAACGATGAAGACAGAGAGTTGAGCCACTGCTCCACTTATATAGTCCACGACAGCAAATCTGAGGCTTGCGAGACTTTTTCACCAGATTCGATAACAGCCAATGACAACTACACGTACACGAAAGCAAAGACCGATATGACCGCAGCCACACCGTCGTCGATCATCACCAAATCCGAAGTAGATTCTGCGAAGAACACCCAAACGATCTTGTCTAAAGATCTCGCGTATGGAACGTTGATGTCTGGGGTGCCGTCTTATTCTAACTGCACGACAGAAGTAGCTTCAGCTTTTGATGATGTTTGGAAAATGCAGCAACCCGAAATGATCAGAAGATCTCCAATGGGAGACGAAATAGATGTCACACCACCCAGGTTTACTGAAGAAAAGTATAGCGTCGACATCAGCCCCCAAATAGTGACACAACCCTGTATCAATAAAATGGATAGTGTCGACATATCTTGTCTTCACGATAATTTAGCTGAAAGCCATGATAAATCGGAGGATTCAAATAATCAAAATGCAGATATGGAAGCACTCGATAGCTCGAATATATATAAAACGATGGCACCATCAGTCACCAGTACGCCTTTGACCGAAGTAGTTACCGGCAACGATGATGATCAAGTTATACCCATGGAACTGCCTGACACGAACGACAAAACTCCAGATTTTATGTCGAAAAATCTACCGAACTTCCAAACGTTTCTACAATCGGCAGAAGTCAGACCGCAAGATTTATCCCCCTGCAATGTGGAAGCCAGTAGTCAAGAAACCGAAATTTTGTTGGAAGGAGATAGCAAAACATTGAGTAGGAACAGCAACCGCGACAGCATGGTGAACGACCGAACGCCAAACTATTCCGACTTCGAAAATTCAGCGATATGTAAACCCCAAGATGTCAATTCGAGGGACAAGTCTAGTCAAAGTATGGAAAGCGGGATGAACTCTGAAGAATTCACACATTTCGAGAGTTCAGTTAGAAATCGTCCTCAAGATTTGTCGTCTGTGATCGACGCTAGCTCTCTACTACTCAATAGCGAGAGAAGGTTTAGCGCGTTAGCAATAACTAATTCCACAGACTTGGAACAGACTAGTCAATCTGGCACCCAAGTGAGAAATCACGAACAGATGAAATCTCTAGACGTAAGTCCGCCTAATAGTACGTTTTTAATAGAATCTCAATACGTAGATAAGTCTCGAACGACAAGTAATTTCTTCATACAAGCAGACGTGGCAGAAGAAACGGATCAACCTCATTCAATTATCATAACCGAAAATGATGAACTTATCAAAGAAAGTCCTAACAGAACATATGACTCACATACAGAAGCACAATTTGTAGAACTGAATCATACTTATGATTCACACGAAACACAGTCTTTACTACGAGAGAATTTAGCTAAGAGTCCTGAAACTGATTCTTCACCGATAAAAGTCAATGGCATCACAGAGTTAGACGATGAAATTAATATTGAAAAAGACTCCCCTAAGTTAGAAGAAATTGACAATACCCAACAATCAAAAAACATCGAAGATAACGAAGAAGAAGCAAATGTAACTACAGATGATAAAGAGGATGATAAAGAGGATGATAAACTCGTTAAAAGTATCGAAGAAATAAAATGCAATGGCAGTAGCGAGAAATATGCTACTGTACAGTTTCTGAATGAAACTTTCGAAGAATTAATAGAAAGCAATGTTGATGATGGAGAAAACAAAGAATTACCAAATGATATTAATGAGACTAGTCAGCTTAAAAACGAAGGCACCGTGTTTAAAAGTAGCCCTACAAAAGATGTCCATGACATTTCCAAAGAAAAGATTACAAATGATGTAGGTGGAAGTGCGGAAGAAATGCAAATGAATGGTACACACGATACTGAAGATGAGAAATTAACATCAGTCACTGAGAATTTCTTACAAAATGAGAAGAATTTTTGTCAGCTGGACTCGTATCTACCACTGCTGAGTGACATACGGTTTACTGGTGAGTGTTTCTTTTTTAATTTGGTATATATAAGTAATAAAGCAAAATCATTTTATGAAATATTAACAGGGAATGTCATTATATGCCTTTTAAATAATATGTGGAGATTGAGAGATTGAAGTAGGGATACTTTCTGTCCTTATTGCTACCATGCAACGCTATAGCTATGTTATGATTGGGTATCCTAAATGCTTTGTTTACGTAAATATTTTACACTTATATTGTCTTGATAAAAAGAAATTACTGCCCCCTTTCTGGGATATAATCATCTTAAAAAACCTGTTTAATATAGAAAAGGCAAAAATGCATTTAGAATATCATAGTATCGGTATCAAGATCAACTGTATTTCTATGTACACAGAGTGACTATTACTATTAATTTATGTTAAGGTCCAGCATCTGAAATAATGACCACATCATTCACCCAAGACTCACCTACTGAACCAACATCACCCGAGAGGGAACAGGATGGCAAATCGGACGTCGCCGCCGATATACTGAAAGAGTGGGACAGCGATAGTGACTCACATTCTACCAACTCTTCTAGCGGCGAGTTCATATGGAAGGTGAGTTATTATTTTAGTACGCACATCAAAATATATATAACATAATTTCACCAAAATTAAAAATAAATTGATGTCAAAAGCAAAATCGGTAAACGAGATATATGTTTACTTAATAACAACTACCTAACAATATTTTTGGCTTAGCTATACTTCTGTGTTATTAATTGGATTATTAATAAGAATTCAACTTACAGTGTCGTAGGTGATGTGGTTATATTGTCTTTGCTTAATTAGAGAATATTTCTTTTAGTAACTTCCCCTTAAGCGCAAGATTCGGTACTCTTATTTAGAACATATGCCAATCGAAATTATCGGCAGAAAACCATTGAATAAGGTTACCGAATGATGGTCTATAGAAAACAATTGAAGTTGTCTGTATTATCCCCCGCTTTGTATATTTTAATATACTTCAGTATTCATATCTATGTATTTATAAATATGTACAGAATTCTATTATTTTTCTTTAACAATTTATAACGAGCAATCAGATTATCATCGAACCGATACTCGATTTTAGTGCAGGGGTACCAAACTCCAATTAAAAACTAAAATGTATATGAAATGTTGTGCTGTGTTTATATGTATTATTTGGTCCACTAGTCACAAGAATTTCATGGCTACCAATAGCTTGCTAGAAATTTCCGTACCAAAACCAAAACTATTTTTTTCTGTTTTTAGTATTTCTTAAACATCTGTAAAAATTTAAACTGACTAGCTATCACGATTCATGAGATTGGGCCTGATGATAGATAAACGAACAACGGCGTCTTAATAAAAGGGCCTTCTTATAACTCTATGGGTATGGAATCCAAAAAATTGACATTTTCCTTAATTAATAATTCACTTTGAAGTATTTCATATTATTATCGAGTATCGGTGCGTATGTATTCTTCTGTACATGTGTATAAATGGTTTGGTCGGTGTCGGTGTGCTGCATGTGTGTATGTGTGTGTTAGGGCGGCGACGGGCGCGAGACCGCGCTCGTGCCCAACACCCACTTCGATCACGTAAGTCTACAGACTATTTACTGCTTGCTACCATCACATATACTCATCTGTGGATTTCGTATTCGTAACTAGTCTTTTTAATGAGTAGAATATCAAATAAGTCGGGACCTTAAAGTTTTATTAAAAAATTCCATAAAAATGTCCACCATTTAATTTCTATTGTGCATGATTACATTAAAATGATAATTCAATAATCAAAGTTGTAAACTGTTGCTTATTCAAAACATACTCAATTTTTTAGTTACTAATATAAAATAAACGGAAACTTCATATTATTCATCGTTTAGTATTGGTGTACAACTTTACTCATATAGCATGATAGTCCAGATTTTTTGTTTAAACAAACAACTTCTCTTTTTCATTTCAATCAACTTTAGTCTATTACGTTTTTAATGAAGTCTTTTGATGTAAGGTCATTTGAAAAATATAACTGTTATACACCAATCTGTTCATGATATTAGACCAGAGACTTAAAATGCCATCACGTTTCCATTTAATCTCACATTAACAAAAAAAAAATCATTAGATATAACTCGGTCATGTTTATTTTTCTGGTTGAACTGCTATATTTATCGCAATTAATTTTTGATTTGCATTGCCTGCTAAATATAACCATTTCATATTGCATATACATCATTTCATTGTAAATCGACCATAAAATAACTAATTTTCAAAATCAGAATAATTCACAGATATAAAAAAATACTAACAATAGAAAATAAGTTTCTTGAATATTAGTCAGAATTAAATCAAATTATTTCTTACATCTTGGGGTTCCTCTCCTTTGAATGACAAATGTTTTACCTGATACTAATTTTTCCTGTGATTTATTCTGCAACATTTTATTTGTTCCTTTGTACAAAATTAATAAGAAAGAATCATTGTATATCGTAACTTTTAAATTAATATATTGTGTGGATCAGATCAATTTCATGTCATTTATCATATACTATATTTTTCCATTATATGAATGTCCATACAGTACTCCGATAAAAAGTTATCAAAAATATATATTTTTATAATTATCACACGAAACAACAAAAAATGTAAAACTAACTCTGAAGAACTTTTTCACTATAAAATGATCAACGCTAATTCATATAAATAATTAAAAAAAAACATCGCATGCTTAAAATTATATCACAAGACACGTGTTCAATTTCACCATAGCATGCTAATATAAGCTCTTTCTTTGGAGAAATAAGATCTAATTTTGCGTGTAGCAACGCGGCAGTGGAACCGAACCCGGCAGCGCTGACGGCGGCGATGGGCGTGCGTCCTCCGCGTCGGGTGACTCCGGCTCCGGGTCGGAGGGGGACGAGGTTGAGTTCGTGCCGTCCTCGTGGGACTGCCGCGCGGCACCCGCCAAGTCTTCACTCAGGAGTCTAGAGCAAGCCACCCCGGTGAGTTCCAACTCGTTTTAATTTTAAATATACAAAATTATTGATAGATGTCGCTCTCGGTATCTACCAATTACAAATATCTTAACTTTCAGATTGGTTTAAATGATCTGGAAAAATTTATTCATTCATGTTTTAGATAAATACATGAACTTAAACTCTGTTTTATTAGAAGGTGGTGTCTCCTGTGAACTCTTGTATCTGTAGTAGTATATTATTATAATAATAGCAATTAAATGGTATTGTGTAAACTAAACTTAAAAAAAGAAAACAATTTTTAATTAGTTTTTTACGTAACAACGTACAAATATAAATCAAAGAAGTATATTATACGCCTGTAGATATGATAAGTTTACTTCTGTTTATTTGCGAAAACCCAGTTGGACAGGACTAAACTTAATAGCTCAATTACACTGTTCGATTCGACGAGTGCGGGCGACCAATGAATTGCGCGATCATTGATTTAATGACCAATGAGATAAGCTCGCAAAGGTTGCAGGAGCTCTGCGTGCGGACCTAGTCGACCAATGTAACTATAATTTAGTTTTTGCAACAAAATTACTACCAATATAATTGGTATAGTACAGGTAAGCATTCTATTCTCGGTGGCGTATTGGATAGTGCCCGTCAACGTTGTTGTTAAACAACTGTAGCAATGGTTGGTCACGGGATGGGTTACTAAAAAAAAAATTATCTCGAGCACGTTAAGCTCTTGATCGCGGCTGATCTATAAGGAAGGCCTGAGCCCAGAGGGAACTTTAATTAAATTAAATTTAATTAAATTTTCATATTAAAACACAAATTAATTTTTAATAGCCATAATTACTGAAATCTTACCCTATAAAGTTTAAAACATCAATACTTGTAACGAAAATTGGAATTTCTTTTTTTTTAATGGGGATTGAATAAATAAAATCTTTTTAATCGAAATATGTATATATTTGGTAATCATTTGACTATTATTTTTAATAGGGATGACGACTTATTTTTATTTGTCTGTCCGTCAAGTAGAGTGTTGGAAAATATTAAACACCTTTTTTTTTGTTATCATAAAATTTCGCATGACGTCACGTTATGGTACGTTTTCTACAAAACTGTGACGTAACGAGCTCAAACTCCTCAATTTTAATGTCTGTTATCTAAACTATTTCTTGTTAAATTGAAGTAAAAATAAGAAAACGTATCTTCTAATACGTATTTTTTTATTATCTGACTGACGGACTAAAATAGAATTGCATTTTTTTTTTACCTAGTCGTCATCCTTGTTAAAGGTGTCGTAACAATTAAGCTTAACTATAATAAAATTTTACATTTTTCTGACTCGGGTTCATCTTGTTGATAAATAAATATATTTCTTAAATCCTCTTTTACACATAACTCTCAATAATATCGAGATTTTGTATATATATATATATATATTTATTACCACATCATTAAAAACTTAAAATCCCAAACTATACCCGTGCTATGTGAAAAAGATTATGGGTGAATGTTTCTTTTTATATGATTCGTATTAGGACAATAAGAAGCGCGTGGTATTCAAACGTCAGAAGTATCACTGCGTGTACGAGTACCCGCGCGAGGCGGCGGACGTGGACGCGCGCTCGCCCGCCGCATACATGCCGGACCTGTCCACCTACTCAGGTAATACTAACAAGTGTTACTCGCACGAATTAACATGATACATGGTGACCTATTATGTTTCTACAAAAGCAAAATTTCATCTCAAAGTCAAAGTCCAAATATGTTTATTCAAATAAACTTGTTTAGAGTACTTTTGAATAGAGTATTTAGTAATTTAAAAAAAAACTAAAAATATACAATAGGGTGTTTTACTTCATTTGAAATAATACCTTTAACTGTTTATTTTAATTTAAGAACGCCATAAAACAAATATTTAGTTAACATTAACACATTTTCTTGCCTTAAAATGAAATCAAAATTTAAACTTATCTTTACCCGCGAAAACGCCATCATATTCATAACGTCACTGTAATATGTACACAAAACAGATGCATAGAGTAGGGAGTAAAAGATGTCAATAAAACAATAACAACGCCACCTAACGATCGATTACGAAATAAAAAGATATAAATAAGCGCCATCTAGGAATTTGATTTTAATTAATAAGAATATCGTTATCATTAATCTGATAGTTATCGCCACAGTGACGTCACAAGGGACGTGTGTCAAGTCACGGGACACATAGACAAAAAAATCACGACTTAATTTTCGGATAATAAGATAATCGTACGATTTTAAGACTCAAAATCGGAATCTTTATGTTTGTAACTATGTAAATTTTAGTTTTTGTACAATTTCGTGAATTATTTTCACAACCGTAACTACCCTATTGATATAGCTTAAGCAGTCCGAAAATGTTAGTTTCAGTTCATAAAAATAATCCAAATCATAGTTTTCGAATCTTTCTCTCTCAAGATCCAAAGTCGCCGTTTAATTTCCCGACCTGCATTTGCATAGATAAAAAAAATCATACATAAAATTAGGTTTAAATATCGACGCAGAGTGCAAACTCCCGTTTCTTTGTTTCATATTCAACGCCGGTAGTGCACCGACGTATTCGCAGGGTTGTCATCTTTTGAGAAACAAAATTCAACCCTGAATGCGAAACATTTGCATCCATATAACGACCTTTTTCGGAATTGACTGCGAAACCGTACCGACAAGGACGCAGCTATTTCGTCGAGTTAATAGAGCGAGCACATGCGATTGCGTCGGTGTACTAACGGCATAAGTAACTCATGGTGTTACGTTTGATATTGCTTAGATTGGGACCCGACTAGTGCCGAGGAAGCGGAGCTGGGTTACGGACAGTTATTTGGTGCCCCCAGTCCGCTCGATCTGTACCCGCTGCGATCGGGCATCGCCTTCGGTATGTCTTATTTAATAATATGTCATTAAATACATCTCATAAATGTAAAGTTGTCACATAAAATACTTTATAGATTTTAATACACTTTTTCTTGGTTATAATGTTTCTCCAGTTCTAGTTTGTCTCTCTTGCTGTGCAATCAACTATTTTATGAAGGTTACTGTAATTGTACTGTCCTCTGAATATCTAACAAGTTTTGTGGCTCTTTTCTTGTCATTAAGTTTTTTATTTTAATCTTATACTTTGTATTTTTAACCAATTGAAATGTCTGTATCAATGATTAATAATTTTCAATTAAAATATATATCATTTTTATTTCAAGATTAAATATTAAATAAAAGTTTTATCCTAAAACAGATTACGATGAAGATTTCTTCATATCATCATCAGCGCGTCCGTTCGAAAGTCTCGGCATCATGTCGACCACGAGTCAGTTCTTCCCCGGCATGCACGTCAAGAGTTCGCTGCTCGAAAGAGAACTCACCGATGACGTAACCGACGATTTCCCCCCACCGCCGTCGCCCCTCCCCATGGCTACCATAGTACAGACCAGAACGCCCTCCTTAGACTTCACGACCCCAGACTCGGGCGTAGAAGATATAACACCAGGGTCGACGAGCGCAGACGACGAGTACAAAGCCAAGAAGTTGCCCGATGATATATCGCAATGTTGGCGACCATTAGACAGCGGCAGCTCCAGTGAATCAGTCAGTCCTAGTTCCCCGGGGGGTGAAGCTCTAGGCGGTCTGAGACACACTAGGGACAAGTTGAAATTAGATTTGCCGCCGAGTCCTCACATCCCGTCACCGAGACACAACAGAGTGTTCAACTTCGTCCTGGACAAGCCCAAGAGGCACAGGATCACCGATGAGAAGGTAGTCGAGGCTAACGCGACACCACTCGTCATGACCGATGAAACTCCTGTCGTCACAAGCGCTTTGCCTCTGCAAAAGGAATGCGAAGATCTCCCCCTGCCCGAACCGACGTTCTCCACATTCGGGAAGAGCTCGCAGAAACCTGAGCCCGAACAGAAAAGTATAATACTCACCGATGAAGTAGAGACCGATCAGGCGGAAGTTAAAACGGAGAGCCCCAAAACCACTAAACCGGTGAAGGGCGAAGGCACGGTCCTCGATAGCGGCGACGAGGATTCCGGCATAGAGAGCAGCTCCAAGGCCACCCTAGAACGTAACAAGACCCCCAACGTATCCTAATTAGAACAAATGTTAGATTTAGATTTGTTACTTACTGTATAGATCTTATACGTGATATTATATAGCATGTTCACTACATGAACTAACCTTCACTTAGATAGTCATCGAAGATTGATCTAGATCAGTTAGAAGATTTTGTTCGTTTGTGAAAACTTTACTTTTTTTATATATATATAAATGGCTGTATTCCGAGGTATGGTCGACGCGAAACCGTTTATATGAAGGCGGCGGATCTCCGTCGGTGAACTAGCCATTACAATATCCATAATAGTATTACCGATACCGACCGATGGTGTTGTATTAATTACATTTTAAGTTCTTACAAATTGTACATATCGGAAAATAATGTTCAACTGAAATTATTTATGTCAATGTCATATAGATCTCGTGCGACAAAAGTGATCAATTTTAAAATGAAAATAATAAAAATTTCGCAAAGTTGCTTTTCTCGTTATCTTTAAGGCTCTATATATAAAATTTTTCTCTTATATATTGTTATGGTACAAAAGACGAATGTCCGACTGTTGATGTGTAGATACTAACTTACGATTACCGCCAATATTATAACGGACTAAGTGCTTTGATACGTTTTACAGTACACTAAGATTGCAACTAATTATGAATAAATAGCGTTACTATATAATTGTGATGTGTCGAGTTATTGTCGGTGATACTGTCTCGTACATATAACTATGGCCTATCCTGTCGTGCCACTATTACCGCCCAAACTTTTTGCTAAAACTTTCATACGATACATTTTTACTCTAATTTCGTATTGTCTTAGTCGTTTAGATTATACTCTCTTAAGCTCGCATGTTCCGACTGTCTCCACTTTTTATTATAAAGAGAATATAGTTGTTCGTGTATAGGCTTAATGTGCGGAACATGTTCCCGGGCAATAAAAGTTCTATGTCTATAAATTATGTTATTTATTATTAGATCTACGCACAAGTGAGTATGCATCTTCCATCTTTTGAACCTCGAGGTACGATCTAAAAATGGATAATGTTTTGGTCTGTAAGCGTTTGAGGTTAAAAAGCCAATTTTAGATAAGTAAAAGTTTATATTAGGTAAGCGTAGCGTTAGATGTATCGAGATGTGGTGTAAGTCGACATTGCGTGTTTGTAGTACACTTGTGAACAGTAGCGTTTGCTCAAAAATCACATAAAACCTACGCAAACCGAATATGTTTTTAAAACACACTAGTATTTTTTTTCTTAGAAAAATATCATTCGGCATCCACTATTTCTAACTTCTACAGTTAATTTATTATATACCTATCAAATGTTACTGTTTTGAAGCGTACACTATGTGCCACTAATTTATGTCATCATTATAGTATGCAATACGTCCAAGTGTGAACCTAATGTGCAATTCTTCTCATTTCCATATCATTGCGTTTTAGTTATTTAGTTACTGCTGTAAATATAATTTAATGTTATCGAAAGAAGAGAAAAATAATGAATTTTAAAAATCTATTAATTGTATCGATTACTACATGTTTATTGTTCTGAACATTATTTTTTACAGTTTTAGAAAGTTTTCGTTGATTGTACAGTTGTAAATAGATGTTCATTTTGTTATGTTGTAGAGGAGAAACTCTGACATTGATCGCTTGGTTTAGTCAGCTGTGTGGGAATTTTATATAGATCAAGGCACTCGTCGCCTAATTTCTTTACAGGCGGATCAAAGTAAACTACCATTAAGAAAGTTAATTAAAGTTATGAATAACATTAGCCGTGCATGAGTGAATCTATGGTATCGGAATTACGTATGAATTGTTTCTTTTCGATTGTGAAATTTTTCCACCTTTAAATATTTGTTGTTTTACTATTTACAAAAAGGAAGAGAATAATGTATTGTCCAATATTATGATATTTATTGTTTGTAAGTTGTTATTGATTTGTATGAACTGTCAGCAGTATTTAGTGAATGTGAACGCATCGGAAGTCATTTCATAATGTGACTTTGTCGAGTCTTTTAAAAGTATTTCTATGAAAAAAAAATGAATAAATCTTATGACTCAAATATGGCTTTTATTTAATCTTGATGAGTTTTTGACGCAACATGTGACGGAACTTTACATAATTACTTCATCATTATAAGTAAAGAAATGCCAGTTACACAAACGTTAACAGTTACGAATTTGACATTCATGAGCTTAAAGGCGTCATTAAACCCTGATGGACGTTTCTGCAACTGACCATAACAGTTATTAATTGTAAACGAAAGTGACATTACGAATCAATATTACTAAAATCTTGTGTTGCTATTTATGTTATTCATAAACTAGTGAACCAATTTAATTAAATTTCACTTGTATATGTACTATATTGTAACTTAAAACTTGGATAAATAGGCTCCGAAACCAAATATGAAAAATTCTGACCCTAATATAGGCAGGCGAAGTTGTGGGCAAACGGCTATGATTCATAAATTTTCTGTGATAGACAAAGAAATGTAAAACGAACAATTTTTTTACTTTAATAATAATATATTTATTTAGTTCTTGAATTATCGTGGGATTAGCAGGTCTACGACGCAACTAATTAACCTTCATAAAACTCATTAAAATTTAATGCTCTCAGCATTCAATTTCTGCTGCTAGATAAGATCATCTGCTGAAGCAAGTTAGGCAGTAGACCCACTGGACATTTATAACATAAGCTCCACATATAACACGTAGCGTCTTGCCGCATCATGTTCTTCCGTGAGTGGTGGAGTGATATCGTCAACATGAAAAGTCTCAGTGGAGATCTTGTTCGGGTTAACTCCTGCGCCAGATGATGACGAGACCGGAGACATCGCTGGTAGCCAGCAAACTCTCGTCGTAGCTGAAGCTTACACCAAGCACTGGTGATGCGTGCCCTGTGAAATAATTACTGCTCAATAATAATGTCAATAAGGTATAACTTGGAAAAACAAAAACCAAAAAAGAATTGAAAGTTGTATAGCAATATGTTATGCGCCCTTTCGTAATGGCGGCCATTTTGGATTAAATTAAAATTTGGATTAAATGGTAGTTATTCGACTTGGGATTTTTTTTCTCCGAAATCGTACTTGTATTTAATTTGAGTTATTTAAATAAGCCATAAATATTTTCGAAAAATTAACACTTTCATGTCTTAAAATTAAATCACAACCCGTCATAACGCGATGTCTCTGGCGACAGCTGTCAGATTAGAAACCTATTTATTATACATTAAATTCCTAGATAGCGCTGTTCTTAACTTATTCAAAACTTTTTTCGTAATCGACCGTTAGATGGCACTGTTGACATGTTTAAATCTACTACTCTATGCATTTGTTTTGTATACATATCCGAATGACGTCTTGAATATGTCGGACAGCGTTTTCGCGGGAATAAAATAAGTTAAAAACTTTCATTTAATATCCGAAATATTTGTTTTATAACTTATTTAAATTAAAATAAACACTTACAAGTACTGTTTCGAACAGGGTAGAATACCCTATTTCGTGTGTTATTTTCCGTTGCAGAGACTATTCCGCCCTATTCTATCTCTTGGTTAAGGAATTACCTTGCAGTTTATTGAGGACCGGTTGTCCCTTGTGCCCCTCTATGTCCAGGAAGTAGACGCACGCGTCCTCGCCCCCGGTAACGACGCACACGCCGCGACGGAACGACATTATCGGACAGAACGTCGACTTGACGCTGTGCTCACTGTGCTGGGTCGCGAAACGCTTCTTCAACACCAAACTGCCTTCGCGGTCCGATATCCTGAATAATAAACACACAAGTCCTGCAAATTGCTAATGCGCTGGTACTTTGTCTAAATAACACCCGCGTGGACGTCATTTGAAAATAGAAAGTATCGGTATAGATAGCACAAAATACGAGAGGAAAATGAAAATGATTTTAAAAGCCCCCATATTATGGAGTAACGATAACGAAGGTACCGAAACACTCGGACCCGAGACAATTGAATAAAGTCCATTTTCTACCGACCGGAATTCCCGGGACCCTAGAGATGCCGTCACCTCGAAACCGTCATGTATACCACTGTTACTGCGTAATGGCGGTGTGTACCTGAACAAGTACAGTGAGTTGTCAGCGGCGCTGGCCAACAGCGCGGGGTGCCTCGCGAGCCACGGGCTCCAGCTGAGGCAGGTGACGGCGCCGCCCACGCACAGCCGCCGCAACTTGCTCACGCACCCGGCGCCCTCCATGCGGTAACTCACTATCACACCCTGGACCAGCGAGTCCGCAGATTAAGCATATCGATAATTGGCTAATTGGGGACCGGCCATTAATCACGTGAAGCTCGAATGGGGGAGGGGATTCGTAAAAAATCACGAAATATCACGTAATATATATGTGTAGTGATATATCATGTGTATTTATATTTTCCCAAACCGCGCGATTACTTAACCGAAAAGCGGCGTCAAAATTAAACTTTTGATTAATGGACGGCCCCTTGACAGTCAATAATAAATAACTGAACGTAAACGTCTTCGTTGCGAGTGCAACCAGCAGACTAATTCTGCCAATGTTTGCGTAATAATCGCATCTCAATAGAATATCAACGAGTTACGTTTTACCATTGTATTATCAACTTAAAATCCAATACTATTAGTGCAATGTCTTCTTCACACATCGATGGTGTTGGTGATAGATATTTAATAATATTGGACTTAAGGTAGATACTACAACGGCAAAATTATTGAGATTCAATTGATATGCGATTGTTACGTTGATATATGACTGCTGCACTCATGTCTATGGAAATGTGACGTCACGGCTCGAATGTCACGTGACTGGCTGTTTTCAGTGGACAATTTAAATTAATGAATAAAAATACGTTTTCCCTTTATTTAACAAAACTTTTACAATTACACCCGGTAATCCAAATTGAGAATTTTAAGTTAATCACGTCTCAAACCGTGTTTAAGCCATTTCAAACAGTTTTCGATTCTGGTTTTAATTTAACAAGCACAGAAATTATTCCTTTTATTCCTGCCGGTGACCGCGAGTACTATCATAACATTATCAAGAAGCGGTTCAAACAATAGTTTTGAATGGTAACGGAAGTTTTCAGGATGTAATAAAATAATGTGATTGTGATTGCAGTCTCAGAACCCTGATAGATATTGAAAAAGTTACGGACTGACCAGTGGCATTATCGCCTAATGAAATGTCATAGGAAAAGCCTCATCTGTAAGATAATGTTATCTCATGTATTTATGGGACGTAAGAAATTTTCGAATTGGTTACCTTTTTTGCTGCGGAGACTTCAAGTAAAATAAATATTTTATTTTTATCGTTTTTATTTATAATAAGCACAATCAAAAGCAAAGAATTTAGGAAGAGAGGGTCGACTATCTCTTATTTTTCTTATAATTCTTATAAGAAAGAGGGTTTTCAGTATCTATGTAAGACCACAAAATCCCTCAAAACCTATGCAAGTGAGAGAAAATAAAAATATATTTAAGTAACTTACTTTACTGAAGATTCTCACGTAATTACTATATATGGGGAGGAGTCAGAATTCTTATTTTTAACTTACACGGTGACTCCCTCTATGAGATCAATGACCGACAAAAATCGTCTCAAGTAATAAATTGATAACGCGTTATCACATAGTACGATACGATATTCTATCATATAGTGCGTTATATATAATACGATATTTTTATAATTACATTCTTCAACATATATCATTCACTCTCCAAAATATCATACAATTAATGATATATTGAATATCGACACACACCTTATCATTGGCTGCCCAGAACATACGACCACTCGACTCGCAGGCAATTGATAACACACGACCTCCAAGAATACTGCTTCCACCTAAATGCACGATTATTATTAATATAATCCGGAACATGAAAATTAGAAAATGGTGCGACGTAACACTCCCGTGAATCATACTATGGTTTGAAAAAAAAAAACCTAATAAACGACTCATCTATCTATATCAACATAGCAAATCATCCTTGCAATTTAATGAAATAATTTCATTCACATGAAAGTTTATTACTTATATTTGCAGATATTGTAAACAGGAACTTGAAACTACAAATTAACTGGCTTAAATCTGGGACGGACGATACAATCAGCCCAGAAGATATAAACGTTCTTAAAGCAAGGAACACCACAGACTTTTTATAGGCTTAAAACCTAACCCCTATAATTCTGGCTGCAACGAAATGTAGACACTAAACCAAAGCGTAATCCCTTAAATGTAAGTAATAAAATACATAAAAACTTAAGAAACACCATGCAAATTATATACACCACTACCACTAGCCCTTTAACGTCCCCACTGCAGAGGCTCAAGCCTTTATGGATGGTTAAGGAGGATGGGCTATGACCCTCCAAGCTGGCCCAATGCGGGTTGGAGGGTTTTGACGACTGCAAATGCAGCCGGGACCAACGGCTTAACGTGCCTTCCGAAGCACGGAGTAGCTCGAGACAATAATTTTTGGTCACCCATCCCATGACCGACCCTTGCGAAAGTTGCTTAACGACTACGATCGCGGGCCGCGGCGTTTATCCACTACGCCACCGAGCTACTCAAATGCAAATTATATAATGTTACTAAAAAGCACGAGGTAAAATATCATAATAATTAATTGAACTTACCTCTGGGATAGATTCCGGTGGAGATATTGAGGACTGCAACCATGCCTCTTGCATTGCCAGCCTTAAGTTACGCAGTGAAAGAAAATAATATTGAGCAATTCAATTCCTGGTGTACTGCAATAGCACAACTCAGTTAGATTATAATAACTCGAGGAAGATTATGAACTGTTTATATTTACAATTTAACTCGCAGAAAACGAAATAAAGCTTAAAATAAAGATTCCCACAAATGAAGCTTGAATATTATTTATCTATATTAATATTATAAAGAGTCAAGATTTGAATGTTTTTATGTTTGTTTGCAACGAATAGACTCAGACAAACGTGGCACGATAAAAAAAAATCACCTACAGGAAGCTACATCACATGCGGTGAACATAGGCATATTTTATCACGAAAACAGCAAAAATAGGTATGAGAATGGGAGTGGAATTTTGTATAGGGAACGAAAACGTTGCCATACTAACCATTGTTTACTATTCAATTTGTCATTGTAATTATAGCAGTATCATATCCAAATAAACAGTTCCCTGGTAACCACGCGGGCGAAGCACTGGCGGGAAGCTAGATGTGTATACCTATAATGTAAGGGCCAACTAGACAAAGGATACGATGACCATGTTATTGTTGGCGGGCTGGAAGCAGCAGCAGAGCAGCGGCGCGGCGAGCTGGTCGCGCACGAGCCGCAGCCGCCGCCGCCCCCCCACCTCCCACAGGCACAGCGCGCCGTCCGCGCCGCACGTCACCAGTAACTCGTTGGACGCGGACCAGTCACAACCTCCAATGTCGCACGCACACAACATTACTTACACACACACACGCACGCACGCACGCACGCACGCACGCATGCACGCATTTTTATTAACAATTTATTTGTGGGAGACTGCTACCCAAGCTAAGCTAAGCATTTGAAATGATAATTTGCTAACTCTTTCAAAACACTTGCATTATTATATTGGATAGGGGGCGTCCATAAATTACGTGAGGTGTTTTTTTAAATTTTCTGTCCCTCCCTCCCCCTCTGGTGAGATATCGTGAGATTTTATTCAACCCCCTCCCCCATCCCCCAATCTCACGTGAGATTTTTCAAAATGCAATTTGATGAGTACTTGCGAGTATTTGCCTTGTTGTAGTATCGAGTACTCAGTATCGAGTATCGCTTTTGAAAGTATCGATACCTACTCGGTATCGAAAGTATCGTTCGAGCCCTACAAATATGGTGGTTTGACATTCAGTCGATGTATAGCGTCGAAATATGAATGAAATTATTTTCTTTCGAACGAATTAGTGAATGATCTTAATCGTATACGATTACGCTTAAGATTAAATCTTAAGCATGTACAATCTAGATTAAATGGACCAAAATAGTATTTTTTTTGTTTCAATCAGAAAAAAAATTGCGTGATATTTGCCGAGACCCCCCCTCTCTCCAACGTAAGATTAGATGAGATTTGCCTCGACCCCCTCCCCCCCTTAAACATCTCACGTAATTTATGGACGCCCCCATATCATAAATGCAGGAATTAATTTTGTCGGAAAAAGTAAAATAGTCGGACTTAATGCCTAAGGCGTACTACCAGTCAACCTTGGCGTGATAAGGAGGCACATTGTGATAAGGTGCGCAACCAAAAACAATAAAACTCTAAGTTTTGTTACTAATTGAAGATTATTTTAATTAATAATCCTTACATAGGATTATTACATTATAGGAAAGCATATAAATATTTATATATATATTTATAAAACACTACAAATAGTAAAAATTGAAAAAAAATTAGATATATATTTTAATTCTAATAATTACAAATGATTGCTAGTGTTGTTGTTGATTTGTGAAATTGAGATATGGAGCAGCAACGCTTCCTGTCACGGGTATTCTTAGTAATATTCAAAAGAAACCTAAATTACTTAATATTAAATTAAGTCAGGTTAATAAATTTGACTCATATGTCACAATAGGTTTACTCTTAAGAATACTGTCTTCATACCTGTGACAGCTTTGGTGTGACCTTCAAGAATAAAACTGACTTTGGGTGGAGAAGCAGTGACGTCACATATTGATACAGTCCCATCGTCAGATGCACAGCACAATTTGGATCTGTCATTGTTCGCGAACTTCACAACACTCACTTGTTCTGTATGCTACAACATTATAGGTATTTACAAAATAAGTACAGTCAGCAAAACATCCGGTTACAACAATATACACATTTTACAATAAACAAATTTCAACCTAAATTTTAAAGCATTACGGCTAAAATAGATTAAAATATTTTTTTAAATATAACATAGCTGCCTTGCCAATCCAAAAGACTCGACTTATAGTATTTCTACTTAACAGGGTTAATCAATTTCTTTAATGTTGTTAAGTATGCCTGGTTGATATTTTTTTATTAATTTCAATAATTATCTAGTCAGATATTACAAGCAAAAAAACACTATTAATTATATTTTTATTAATTTTGCATTCACAATGCCATACTGAAAATTATTCTTAATACAAAATGCTTAAAAAATCCACTTGGTCCCTGGCACCCTGAGATGGGAATCGAACCCACGACCTTTTGCAATCCGGGCGACTGCTCTAACCACTGAGCTACCCAGGACCTAACAGAACTGACGAATCTTTCAAGCACTTGTTACTTTTCGCTACTACAGAGCGTTTTCTCATCAATGTTCAGGCATCTCAGGGACCAGGGACCAAGTGGATTTTAAGCATTTTGTATTAAGAATAATACCCTATTAAGTTTGAAATAAGATTAAATCACACAGAAACACTAACAAAGTATACAGTGTTTCAGACCAACTAGTGTAAGTAAGTAGTGTAAGTTGAATTGACAACATCCTTGTCCTTTCCACCTTCCATCCCTGCTAAAAGCACATTCATGATTTACAAAGTCATTCACTTATTCCAGTACTACATAGGCTACCGCCGGGAAATCCGGGATTGTCCCGGAATCTTGCCTCTTGTCCCGTGTCCAGCAGTTAGCGCATATTGTCCCGGATTCTGGAAACTTATTATTTTTTTTACAAAATAAACTAGCAACGAATGACACGGCTGCGGATAATTTGTTTGTACTGATTTCCTACTAAAGCTTAACAAAATATTACGAGGAGGTGCTCAGATTGGTTTAAGTTTATTTTATGTACTAAAAATTTTTTTGTTACTAACAGTCAAGTACTGATTGTTTTTTATAAGTTATATGTGTTTCATAAGAAAATAAATGGCATTTTTCCTTTTAAATACAAATACGAAAAAATATATATTTAAGATATTTTCTATTATAACCACGAGCCAACATTTTTTTTGTAGAATTGTCCCGGATTTGATAAGTTACTATCTGGCAACCCTAGTACTACATCATCAACCATAATCCATAAATCATCTTCCATCACTGTGATTGGAGTTTGCAAATCAGTTGCATTTTCTGCAAGCACCACGGCGTCATCTGCTTACAGCAGGAAGTTAACAACTAGATCACCCACATGCAATCCCACATTCAAAGATCATATTCCCTGAAGACAACTATTGAGATACACTATATACAATCTCATAAATAGACTAAACAGCATACAGCAGGCAACTTCAACCCCATATCTCGGCAGAATGCCCCAGAGTCCATTTCGTAATACTCTGTCGATTGTTTTCTCTAGAAACCAAAAAACCACAGAAAAGCTTCGATCAACGGCCAGATACTTCTCTGTGGTGTTGCGGAGCAAGAAAACTTGATCCATGCATCCCCGGCCATTTCTAAATCCTTCCTGTGCCTCCCACACCAATCCATGGGATTTCCCCCTCATTCTCTTTTAAGTACGTTTCCATGCAATTCGGCTGCTAAGCTGATCAAACTGATTGCTCTATATAACTATAGATATTGCTCTATATAACTATATGCGCTAACGCGCAGTCCATACGTAAGCACTTGCTTTTCCAGCAGAGGTTGCATAGAAACCAGAATGCATCCCATACGCAGATACCGCCTAGTTTGATCATTTCAATAGAAACCATGACAATTTCTGCATTGTCCTCTTTTTCACACTTCTTATCAACCATTCAATCTCTTCCATAGTAATACCATCATTGGACACTGGCTCAGCAGACACCACATGGGATCCACTCACTGTGTCAGCATCCCAAGAATACACATACATTTCCTCAAAATATACACTCCACAGTTCTAACACATTTTGTGTATCTGCAAGAATTTCCCCAGCTTTAGAGTTAAATTTATCCATTCTGGATACTGACAAACAACATTGAGACTTCTTTACCTCTCTCCAAAAGAGTTTGGTATTTGCCTCAAAGTTCTTCGTTAGTTTATCTTCTTCCATAATTATCCTTTCACACTTCTCACAAAAGTTTTGGTTTCACTCTTGCATTCAGTATACTTCTTTGTTTAAGTCTTTTATATTCAAAGATGAAACATAATCCAGCCATACTTTCTTCTACTTTTCTATGAATCTTTCAAGCTCCTTATACCACCAGGCATTTTCTTTCACAGTTTTATGCCTTTTTGCACAAATGCATTGTGCACTAACTACCATACCTTCTTTCAAATTACTCCAGCAATCATCTACATCTAAGTCAGAAAAACTCACTTTGTTGAGCTACCCTATTTATCTTTTGACAAATCTGCATATTTGGTTACAGTGTAATGGTAAATGAATGACTTTATGTAGGGCTAAAGACTGTACACTGTGTTACTGTCTTAAAGCCTCAATAAAAATATCTTAAAATTTTATGATTGTCTTGACAATACAAGTTAACTGTTACATCTTTTTTCCTTGCTAAAAATTGTCCTAAAAATCTTAAAGTTGATATACTTGAGATGTAAATACATAAAATTATGTAAATTAGCTTCTTAAAATAAGCTTTTAAAAAAGCTAAAAACTAATCAAAAATATATTTTGTTGCATATCTCAAAAGAGCCATTTGAAAATGTGTCGGCTTGGCAGGGCAGAACTATTGATGTGATAACAATCAATTATATCATATATCAAAAGCAGTTGTATAGCACATGAGTAATTAATGGAACTTTTTTGTTATTAAATTCATTAGATGAAGATTGAACAAACCTGATCAAAAATATGGTGAACCCCAGAGAAAGCATAATTCTCTGATATTGTCAGATCATTCTTTTTCTTAACAGTATTCACTGTCAAATCATCTGTAGCCAAACTAGCCTGAAATTACATTGAAGACATTTATTTGAAATTGACATATGTTAATTTTAAAAGATGAAGTTAGAAACACAAACCTTACTACTAGATCTTGCTCGGGATGAAGCAGAACTGATTGATATATTATCTTGAACTCCATACCGTCTCTGAAGTAATTGACTCCTAATATTTAAGTACTTTTTTATAGTCTCTATATCCTGTAATGGAGTAATTTCTGTTACGAGTAGACTGACATAACTTTAAAATGTTAATATATATTTATATATAAAATTTCACCTTGAACTTAGCATTTTCTCTAAGAAGTTGACTTCTTCGTCGTATATACAGGGTTTCTAGAATATTAGGATAAAATATGTCAGTGTAGGTAAAATTTTTGTACTTACATCATATCAAAACACATGTAATTATGGTTTTTAATATGAAAATATGTATAGATACTTCCAGGAAAGCCATTGCCGTGTAGCAAGTAGTACTTACTGAAGTTAGGATTGTTTGGTGCTCTGTAAGCGTTAAAACGGGCATCAAGTGCGAATATTTGTTGTTGGAATGCTGCTGCCATTATAATTAACACGCAAGTATAGAGTCCGTAGTATAATATATTAATAAATACAAATATTTTTCATACTATTATTATTGGTATTTCTAAAATAATATTATTCTTTTTTCTCTTTAATAATAAATAAATAATTCGATGTTTTTCTTCTTCTTTTTTAATTCAAGGCCTATTTGCGTTTACACAATTTCGCCAATGTCACGTTTGTGGTCTTTACACCTAAAGACATTTCTAGTATAATATTGTAATCTTTGCCTAAAGAAACAATAATAAAAAATCTTCTTAACTTTAATGGCACAGTCAGCCGTGTCAACAAAATAATTAATAATTTCTTCTTTTCACTAAAATGCAAGAAAGAATATTAAACATCTTGCATAAATGTTTATATTGAACGTTTCAATGCTTGTTTGAAGTTTTTAAAACAGGGGCTCCGCGTTCAGTTCGAGACTAAAATAAAATATTCATAGAAATTTAATTTTATAATACCTTTAATTACGATTTCACTTAAACGTGGGTTTAAAGGTGGTTAGATATTTTCAGTTAGGAGTTCCGAAACCTAAAAAGAATTGTGAATACATTCTTTACACACTGATTAACTGAATTAAAGTATTTTACGTTAGGTTAGCGTGAGAACTCGTTGCATAGTTGTATGGACCAGGAATGTAATTGTACAGCTTCTGGATGACCAGCAATACATTAAGAAGAAAACCTGTTTGACTCATACTAAGTACCTGGGTTCGTAGGTAGCTACTTTCGATTTTACTATCTTTGTATTTAGTAGTTACAAATTAGAATTGTATAAAAGTTATAGACAAATGCTTTAAGTTTAGTCTCTGGTGCCCAAAACGGGATAATCAGATATGAACCCGTAACTTTTCCGATTATTACGTCTTATGTCAGTGAAATATTTCCCTCTGTAGCTATTATAGCAGAAACCAACATAGTGTGTTTAATAGGAAGTAATATTGTATTATTAGTACTTTCAGAAATAAAAGCATTACTTAACGTTTTTAAAGTAAGGGTGTTTTAATAACATATCACAAATACTTGGACATGGAGTGCCCCTGAGGGAAATACTTCAAAGGTAATGGATGGACTTACTGAAGTTTTAGTTACTTGCCGGTTCTTCTCATTACAATCAAATCAATAAGTCTTCGATTTACGAACCAATGGCGTAATTTTCAAACATTCAAAAGTGCTTGTTACAGCCTAAACCAATTAAATGATATTCAATTTGAAATTATGCTAACCGGGCGACACTAAATATTGTGATATCCCAAATATCTATCCTCCAGTAGGTCTCTGACGATGTATTTTGATTACATTATTAAAAAAAAATCTTTATGGTTTACATAATCTTCCTAAAGATCTGTTATTGTTATTCATTTATTTTAAAGGCAAGAGCGCCTTTTACCCACCTATTTGCTTTATACTGACTTAAACGGCATTCAACAAAAGGACAGACAATTAGACGACAGAGTGATCTTGTAAAGGTTTCGTTTCTTCCTTTCGAAGTGCAGAACCTAAGTAATCAACCATATTGTCCGAGACGGTAGTTCTACCGTAACCTTACGCTAATCTAAAACATTATATATGTCAACCAATTATTAATAATATCAAATAATATCTAAACTGTGTTCGTTACGATAATCAATACGATCAAACAAGCGATCGATACTGGTCGCGTCGTTGTTTACACCGTCACCGAGCGAGTGGCCACTCGGTTCGGCCGTCCTCGTGCGCACATCGAGTCGCGCTGAGGCCAGCCATTTCCCGGAATCCCCATTTCCGATTCCGAAATACCCAAGTCAGTGATACCGAGAAATCACAACATGCGTTATTCTGGGGCAATGCCGTGTAAAACCCGAATCACGTCGCTTTCTAGCGAGGTGCCTCCGCCGTTATAAATAATCAGAATGCGAGAAAGACGAGTCGCTGACCCTCAATTACCAGCATTATTCGTTTTACTGAGAAACACTTTCGACGTCGCTAAAAAGATTATGGGATTTAGATAAAATCAAATTATTATTTTCGTGAATAGCAAAATAAAACATGTTATTATTTTAGATTTCATTATAATTACTGACATTATCGTACATTATAATAATTGAAAAACAATTTTTGATCTTATTACAAAACATTTAAGGCTTAAAACATAACGGCGAACTTACACATACCCTACATACCTTAATAACAGGTACGCTGATGACAGTTGCATTCACATTACGTAATAATACACCAATTTATTTACAAGTCTTTATAAAAATGAGACGGATTAGCGTGATATTGGAAAAGTGTTTGAATTTAATGTATCATTATAGTTAGAACTATTGCGTAATTAATAACATTTCCACATACATGCTGAAAATAAATAATTAATTCTTATCATTAAACAGGTCTTGTCCATCACTGACGCTAATCCATCTTTAACATATTTGACTATTATTTGTTGTACCTAATTTAATTAAATATAAAACTACTTGCATTACATTACAAAATGCATAGAGCGTAAAATAAATCTAACAGACATATCATAACACATAAAGCAATCAGTCAAAACTTAAATTGATTATAAAGGCAAATATTACTAAAACATATAAAAGTACATAACTACAGACTAATTTACTATACAAATTATTTCGTTAATAATAAACAATAAAAAATCATCCTTCCACTATAAGTTTTAAATTTTCACTTTTGCTTGAAATAAATAGAGAATTGATGTGATATTCAAATTATAAATATAATTTTATAAATAACTACTATTGTTTATTAATAAGAATGTTAAAATGAAGCCATCTTTACAATGGTTTAATTTTTTTTAACAAATTAATTCGATTAACAACGGCGTGGTTAAATAGATGGCCGCACTTAGATTCTTAATTCATATATGTACAAAAGGGCAATGTACAGAAGGGCAACATTGAATTTATTTTTTTGTTAATTATTAGGCAACAAAATATCCAAGCTGCAGCTGCAACGCAAATTTAACTTTAAATAAATATATGGCGGTTTATCTATCGGAAAGAATAATACCCACCCAACACGCCTCGATTTAACCAACAAGATAAAATCATTAATCATCATAGTATAATTGAAGCAGGGGTGCCACCAAAGATAATTTATTTTAATAAAAAATCTATATTAATAAAATCTAAATTTAATTATCAGCCCCGGATCTGTTTTTTTTCGAACTGGGGTAGAAACGAGATACGAGTATCTACTCTCTTTAGCTTTAAAGATAGATTGTTAAAAGACCTCGCTTTTGTATTTTATTGTAGAAAATAACCAATTGAATGAAAATGCCCACTTAGATTCAGGACTGCAATATACAATCCAACAAAATGAAAGAGAAAAAATTAAATTTTTTAAGTGATTTCAATGTTTTACAATAAAATATATTTAAAGTACTATTGGTATTTAAAAGAAAAAAAATAACAAATTTGAGCGGTGAATTCGAATCTAAAAACAAATATAACACAGGCTGGTAAAATTTTACCATACGAAAGACAATGAATGAACAAGGTATTTAATTCACAGTTTTTTATCCAATTACATGGTCCGGCACCCCTGTAATGTAGTGATGTGCACACACCCCTGTACAAAATTGTTATTAATAAAAAGTTTGTAAACTGCTTAATCATCGCTTTCAAATAAAACTGTAAAAATAATAAACACAATGTACTTGTGATCTCATCGAAAATACCGAGGCGTTGGCGTTACCTAAATTATTGAATAATAATAATAAGATATTCTCGGAAAAGGTCAATTGAATGTTACTCGGAACAAAATAACACTTATAATATCTAATTTATCGATTGAAACATGCGATACAGGTACTAAGTGATTATGTTATTAGCATCTGAATTCCAATTTATGCTACAGGCAAGACCTGGCTCATGAAATACACACACCCGTGCGTCACACGTTGACTTACAATTGCATTGATTTTTAAACGATATATATCCAAGGAACGCTTACATAATTATCATGAATAAAAAGGTACCGATATATGTACATTATGTTAAATTTTAATCTTGCAGACGAAACAAAAGATACTTCATGTTAACGCAGTGCAAGACAGCAAAATTGAATTTTAACATCGACACACCACTAGGATATCTTTATTCTATTACGCACAGATAGACTAGTAGTAATCAAAGGAGACGGCTTGGATGTCGGCATTTTTATTTTATAGCAGTAGTTATACTAAACAAACATACTTACAGCTACTTTCATAGGAACTAACTGTAAGCAGCCCGTGCAGACACGGATGCATACAAATGCGGTCGAAATAAAGTAACACCGGCGACGGTCGACTATCTTAAATCCTTTATAATACGCGCTTACGCAAGCGCCGCACGTTGCACTCACTAAAGTGACTTAATACGTAGTTTCGTATCATCCTCGCCGTAATAACGCGATCAGCATGCAAAACGGCAACGTATATATAATTCAACCCTCGTTTTAACCCTAAATGTATGCTAACGAACTACTAATGCCGAGGACGTACTTTGAAAATAACCTGACTTAAGACGTATTATTTTCTATGGTCAGAGTCGGCTTATGTATGAACGTAATATGCTTTATAGGAATTATTACAGAATTTAACGGATCAATACGACGACAGATATTTATTATGGTTTACTTACAAATATCCAGTGTTACCACGCATTTTGTTTAGATTTTACGGACGGCAACTATTTCCGTGTTCATTATAAGCATTTCGGTATGTAAGAAATGGCGTATATAAAATCGGAAGTATTTATTTTTATTATATAATACTTATATAACAAGACACTAAATGAAGAGATTAAAGGATATGGTTTAAGTTAGACCTGAAATATTATTGTTTCGCTTGTAATTAATTTATGGAAGGTAAACAATTTTAATAATTAAAAGTACAGTTTATAATAAAATTAAACACAAAAACACACAAAGACTTTTTATGTTATGTAGGTACAACATATTTAAATGACATACGTAGCGTCACGTAAAACTTTTTT